ATATATAGGAGGTCAACAGTTCTTGTTTGGCCTAAAGACAAATTCTGGCCCTGAAAGTTATGTGACTTTGGTGAATTCACCTTCCTGAGCTCCAATGGTCTTACCCTAACAAATATTAACATCCATGCCTCACAGCAATATAGAAATGCTGTAGGTTTTAAAGGAAGAGTCCCCATCATGCATAGCTGCTCTGGAGAGGGCAGGATGGAAAATGGGGGGAAAAGGTAGGGGGTGCTTACCTGGAAGCTAAAGCTAGCTGCCTACTCAGTAGATAAGCAGGAGTTAACCCTAGAGGAATTCAAAAAGACCTCAAAGTTCATCTCTTTAGAGCCTAGCTCCTACAGATAAAATTGAGTCCCAAGGAAGAGGCAAGATGGCCAACTGGTGCCAGCTTTCCACAGAGACTCTGGTCCAGAAGGAGAGTTAAAGGACAGAAGTTTATCAAGTAAGCTGATGGTTTAGAGCTGAGCCAAGATAGAAAATTGAAGAGTGCACATCACCCCTAATGAGATGAGCTGTGACCCCAAGGAAACAAACAAAAGCTGAGACTTCAACCTAGAGTTACTGATTCACTAGGATTGGATAGAGAATAGCTGAATACAAGACAGAGCCACCTAACTCCACCACACCAAGCAGGTCCCCAATGTCTCAGGCTGCAGCACTGTATGGGTCCTTGGCAAAGCTGTAGGTGAAAAGCTGTAGTCACCAGTCCCAGCTCTTGGGCAGAGGGCTGGTTAATCACTACTCCAAGAGCTCCCAATCCAAATTCACCTTACCTGCTCATCTATCCAAATAGTGAAAAATAATTATGGGGCAAAATCAGTAGAAAAACACTGGCAACATGAATAATCAGAGTAGATCAACTCCCCCAGAAATGACAAGGTGGAAAAACCAGAAAATCCCATTCATAAACAAATGACTGAGATGTCAGAAATCAAGTTTAGAATTTGGATCACAAAAAAGATTTATAGAATGGAAGTTAAGTGGGAATTAGAAATTCTAGGAATAATGTAAGATTTATCTCAAGAATTCAATGAATTCAAAGACAAAATCACCAAAGATTTTGACACATGGAGAAAATAATTTGCAGCCCTTCAAGATATGAGAAATATAGTAGAATACCACACTAATGAATTGAACAGGCAGAAGAAAGAATTTCTGACATTGAAGACAAAGCATTTGAATGCTCCCAAATGCTCAAAGAGGAAGAGAAGTGGAGAGCAAAAAAGGATTATTCTCTCAGATAGCTTTGGGACAATTCCAAAAAACCTAGTATTTGCCTTGTAGAAATTCCTGAAGGTAATGAGGTTTCTTCAAAAGGCCCAGATACTATACTCCAAGTGATAAGCATGGAGAACTTCCAAAACATAGCAAGAGATTCAGAAATTCAAATAGCAGAGAGTTTCAGAACCCCAGTAGGACTCAATCCAAATAAAGCTTCTCCCAGACACATTATAAATAACTTCACCAAAGTTAATATGAAGGAGAAAATTGTGCAAGCAGTCAGATGTAAGAAAACCACAACCTACAAGGGGAAGAATATTAGAATGACTGCAGATCTCTCTGCTGAAACTTTTCAAGATAGAAAAGGATGGTCATATATCTTTAACCTTGTAAAACTAAATAACTTTCAACCTAGAATCCTGTATCCCACTAAACTGAGTTTAATTTATGATGGAGAAATTAAATACTTTAATGACATTCACATATTGAAGAAATTTGCCATAATTAAACCAGCTCTCCAGGATATTCTCAGACCTATCCTCCACAATGACAACCACAATGCTCTATCACCAAAGCAAACTCACTCAAAAAGTTTTGATCAAATTCCAACTTCCACAGTGGTGAAAGGATGAAAAATGTCCACTGAACTTTTGAAAAACTCAATACCCAAAATACTACCAGGCTTATCAGTACTCTAAATTAATGTGGATGGCTTAAATTGTCCTCTAAAGCAGCACAGGTTGGCTGACGGGATACAAAAACTCTGACCAGATATCTGCTGCATACAAGAATCTCATCTTACTTTAAAAGATAAATATAGACTCAGGGTGACAGAATAGTCATCTGTAATTCAGGCAAATGAAAATAAGAAAAAAGTAGATGTTGCAATTCTATTTGCAAATAAAATAGGATTTAAACCAACAAAAGTAAGGAAAGATAAGAATTATCACTTCATATTTGATAATATCTAGCATCATTTCATGATCAGATCACTTAAGAAAATTAGTATAGAAGGTACATTTCTTAAACTGATAGAGGCCATCTACAGCAAACCCATAGCCAATATCATATTGAATGGAGTTAAATTGAAATCATTTCCACTCAGATCAGGAACCAGGCAAGGTTGCCTATTGTCTCCACTGCTTTTTAACATTACAATTGAAGTCTTACCCATCAAAATCAGGCAAGAAAAGGTGATAAAGGGTATCCATATAGGGTCAGAGGAGATAAAACTTTTAGTCTTTGCACATGACATGATTGTATACTTGGAAAACATCAGGGATTCAACTACAAAACTCTCAGAAGTGATCAAAGAGTACAGTAGCATCTCAGGTTACAAAATCAACACTCATAAATCTGTAGCCTTTATATATAACAACAATAGTCAAGCTGAAAAAAGAGTCCAGGACTCTGTTCCTTTCACAGTAGTGCCAAAAAAGATGAAGTGTTGAGAATTTACCTAACAAAGGACGTGAAAGATCTCTATAAAGAGAACTGTGAAATAGCTGAAGATGTTAGTGCATGGAAAAACATACCATGCTCAAGGCTAGGAAGAGTCAACATTGTCAAAATGTCCATACTACCCAAAGCAATATACAATTTTAATGCAATCTCTACTAAAACTTCACTGTCATACTTTAAAGACCTCAAAAAAATAATACTTCATTTTACATGGAATCAGAAATAACCTTGAATAGCCAAGACATTTCTGAGAAACAAAAACAAAGCAGGAGGAATCATGCTACCAGACCTCAGACTATACTATAAATCGATAGTGATCAAAATAGCTAGTATGGGCACAAAAACATAGGGGGAGATGTATGGAACAGAATAGAAAACCAAGAAATGAACCTAGCTACTTACCATCATTTGATCTTCAAAGCCAATCAAAAACCTGCAGTGGGGAAATAATTCCCTATTTAACAAATGGTGCTGGGTGAACTGGCTGGCTACCTGTAGAAGACTGAAACTGTACCCACACCTCTCACCATTAACTAACTTAGACTTTCACTGGATTAAATATTTAAACTTAAGACATGAAACTATAAAAATACTAGAAGAAAGTATAGGGAAAACTCTTGAAGAAATCAGTCTGGGTGAATATTTTATGAGGAGGACCCCTGGGCAATGGAAGCAGTATCAAAAATACACAACTGGGACCTGATCAAACTAAAAAGCTTCTGCACAGCCAAGAACACAGTACAAAAGGCAAGCAGACAGCCCTCAGAATGGGAGAAGATATTTGCAGGTATGTCTCTGACAAAGTTTTAATAACCAGAATCCATAGAGAACTCAAACATATTAGCAAGAAAATAGCAAGTGATCCCATCTCACTGTGAGCAAGAGACTTGAAGAGAAACTTCTCTGAAGAGGACAGGAGCAGAGCCTATAGACACATGAAAAAGTGCTCATCATCCTTAATCATCAGAGAAATGTAAATCAAAACCACTTTGAGATATCATCTAAGTTCAGTAAGATTAGCCCACATCACAAAACCCCAAAAGCATAGATGTTGGCGAGGATGTGGAGAAAAGGGAACACTTCTGTACTACAGGTAGGAAGGCAAACTAAAATGTTCCTTTTGGAAAGATGTTTGGAGATCACTTAGAGATCTAAAAATAGACCTGCTATTCGATCCTTCAATTCCTCTACTAGGTACATATCCAGAAGGCCAAAAATCACTTTATAACAAAGATATTTGCACCAGAATATTTATTGCAGCCCAATTCATAGTTGCTAAGTCATGGAAGAAGCCCAAGTGCCCATGGACACATGAATAGATTAGTAAATTGTGGTATATGTACACCATGGAATATTATTCAGCCTTAAAAAATAGATGGAGACTTTACCTCTTTTATGTCTACATGGATGGAGCTGGAACATATTCTTCTTAGCAAAGTATCTCAAGAATGGAAGAAAAAGTATCCAATGTACTCAGCCCTACTGTGAAACCAATTTATAAACAACCACACTTCCATATGAATGCTATAACCCAACTAGAGTCCAAGATTAAGGGGAAAGAGGAGGAGGAAGGCAGGGGAGGGCACAGGGTGGGTGGAAGGAAGGTAATTGGTGGGAACACACTTATGGTGCATTTTACAAGGGTACATGTTAAATCTACTAAGTGTAGAATATAAATGTCTTAACACAGTAACTAAGAAAATGCAGTGAAGGCTATGTTAATCAGTTTCATGAAAGTTTTTCACAGTGTATATAAAACCAGTACATTGTTCCCCATAATTGCATTAATGCACACAGCTATGATTTAATAAAAAA